TACAGTTTAAGCAATATAAAACAACAGAAATTAGGCTAAAGCTACACAGGAATAGTATCTATAGTGTCATCAAGGTTTCTGTCATTTATATGTAATTAATAATAATATGTATTTTACTGTATTTATTTATGAAGATTTCTCCTTTTACATTTGTAATATGTTGCTGCACTGGTCCAAATACCACAGCCTTCCTGATGTTCATTTTTCATTATTTGCTGCTTTTTTAGTTTAAATATATATTATTCTTTTTGAATAAATCCTTTATCATGAGAAATTATGAATCTGTGGCACTCTATTCTCCTCTTTCATCTCTTTCCCCTCACACCCAACGGGTCATAACACATGGCTGATATTCCCTGAGCCTGTTTGTAGTGGAGGTTTTCTTCACACTGTCGCCAAGCGCTTCCTCATAGTCAAAGGAGCTTGGAAAGAAAAGCGTCTGGACTTCTTTAAGTTACTTGAAGACGTTTCACCTTCATCCGAGAAGCTTCTTCAGTTCTAAGGTCAAATGGTGGAGAGTCCCAGATATAAACCTAGTGGGAGTTTCCCCCCACAGAGGGACAAAAGGACCCCTGATGATCCTCTAATCGCCTGAGCCAAGGTGTGAAACTGGGTGTGGGTCCCAATCAGCCAGAGTTTCGGGTGAGTTCATTGTGAAACCTGGCCCCACCTTATCATGTGATGTCCTGAGGTCAGATGGCCCAGGATGTGAGTGGGCGTTAAGGCGTCTGGGAAGGGATCTCAAAACTGGATTATAGATGGCAGAGAGTTGGTGTCGTAAACCACCGCCTCTGTTCAAAGATGGTCGCTCACAGTGGACATAGATGGCTTCTTTCACTCCTCTTTCAAACCATCTGTCCTCTCTGTCCAAAATGTGAACATTGGCATCCTCGAAAGAGTGACCTTTGACCTTTAGATGGGGTTAGGGTTAGGGTTAACCCTAACCCCCACCATTTGACCTTAGAACTGAAGAAGCTTCTTGGATGAAGGTGAAACGTCTTCAAGTAACTTAAAGAAGTCCAGACGCTTTTCTTTGCAAGCTCCTTTGACTACGATGACTTGGATGACTGAGAACCTTCACAGACACGCTTCCTCATGGTTCCAGTTCCTATATAGTCGAATATTTGCAGTCCCTACCTTATAGTATAAAACACCTTTACTGTTTGTGAATTGGTGCTATAAAAATTAAATTAAATCAAATCAAATCTCAACTTCTTCCCTTTCAAACATTTTCATTTTTTTCTTCATCTATTTAACATGTAGGTGCTCAGGACTGTTTGACCACTGAAACATCAGAAATATTTATCTCATTAAATCTTCAATCATTCAGTCCTGGTCTAATTTCACTCACGGATCCCGAGTCTGGCAAATGGCACAAATGAATTATTCAACGGCTGAAGGAGCCTATCAGAGACCCCTCTGTTGTTTAGAGGCTGTCTTAGATAGTGGTGTAACTCCTACAGTCACAGCCCGTTTAATGAATAAGAGTCTGGATAAAATAGCTTATCAGTCTTTACATGTGGAAAACGCTTTTTGACGCTTTAAATCTCCATGCACCACGTGAGCTTTAAGAAAACATCTGGTCAGATTTCACTGCAGGAGAGCCGAGCAAATACAATTCAAAAAATGTTCTCCTCTCAGAGACACATCTCACACTCTGACTTATTAAAAATATTCTAATGTATTCCTCTACCAGCGGGTTTTCCTGTGGTGTCACTCAGGTGGGACCTCAGTGTTGGTTTTAGTGCCTTTTAATGATCTTTAATAGAACTTAACAGCTTGTGTCCCACATTTCTCCACTGCTTCCTGTATGACAGGCCGTAAAATCCTCGCTGTCAAATTACTCGGGAAAGAAGATGAGAAATGTTCTGTGCGCTATGTTAGTTTAAGAGTAAATGCATTAGTGTCTGAGATTTCAATAGCGGGAATTGCTTCAAAAAAGATATATATGTAAATTTTATCCTCAGTTTAACTGTTTCTACTGTTCCACGCAGCCTGATGAAAGCTGAAGTTGCGTTTCGTCTCCCTATTTCAGATTAAAGCACTCCTTTTAATCTGTGAACACCTTGACAAAGATGGAGTCATCCTTGCAAACTTTTGAGTGTTTCAAAGTCACGCTATCTCAGAGTAAATCTAAAGCTACAGTGTCGGGGGAACAAAAACACTGCAGGGAGAGGACTCTCATTTGGCTTCGGTTCTCCTAGGGTTGCCATGTTCCCCAGGCTGATGGATGAAGGGAGAAACTCATCGGTTGGTACCAAGCAACAAGCAGAAGGATGGAAA